GTCATCTGTTCTAGGACCTGGCAAAAATCAACATGTGCTTAGCTCAGAACCAGCCACTGCATATGCCAGCTTGTGCCCCATGAGTAATAAGAATCTGAGGTTACTGGAGGTGGGTAAATGAAAAGTTTGAAGGGGGGGGGAAAAAAAAAAAAAAAAAATCAAGCTTCCTTCATTCTTTTTTGACACTGTAGCCACCCTATCAAATTTGGGTTCCTCTCAGAATTTCACATTTGAAAGTTAACAGAGTGCAAATATTCAAGAGATCCCAAGTCTTATAAAGACATGCACCAGATTCTCATGAAGGACCAGTTCCAGTTCATGCCAGAACACCTGGAATACCTGCCCTGGATCAGCCGGTCACCGAACCAAGGCGCAACCAAGGTACCAACACAAGGCACATGCAAAGCAGAGGACAAGGATTTTTGTTTAGAGAAGGAAAGAATTTATCTTTGAAATTTTTCTTCTGTCTTACAGACATCGTATCTTCGATAATACTCCCATCATGCTGAAGTCATTTAGCACCTGCTCCAGTTGGCAGTTCCTGGGGACAACTATAAAGTTATACCATGATGTCTTGAATGCCCTCTCTAGCTTTTGATCTAAGACTGATATGGCATATAGACAAAGAAAACGCAGAGAGGATGCCAAACACTAAAAAAGAATCTGAAAACTACCACCTTAAAGGCCACTTAGCATCTAGCTTAATTCCAGTAAGGGGCCTTTCCATTAGCATACCACAGATCTCGCCTACCTTCCCACAAGCTTTTCACCAACGCAATCGGGTGGTTTTGGCACAACACCTGTTTACACACCAAATGAAAACAACTTTTAAACCATCTTTTAGCAGCCAGCTTGACATGAACATTTCCTTTAACCTGAGGAAAAGCTGATAAATGGGACAAATCTTCCAAATTGCTTGTCATCTCTGTCCTATGTAATGAGCAAAACCAAGACTCAGCCTTAACATTCCTCTCCTCTCTTTTTAAATATCTATAAAACCAAAATATTATTCCAGAGTTTTTTGCTCTAAATTTTTTTTCTTTTTTTTTTTTTAAATTTATTTTGGAAGCCAATCATAGAATCATAGAATGGTTTAGGTTGGAAGGGACCTCAAAGATCATCCAGTTCCAAACCCCCTGCCATGGGCTCTTGTGGATACCTCTGTTACATGCAGAGGAATCCACATGTTCTTTGCTGACAGCAGCAAAGAATTCACATTTGAGGAGTGATTTCCACCAGCCCCATCCCCTTAGGAAGTAATCCTAACTCTAAACTCAAACAGCCATCTAGCTGCCTCCATTCATGAAAGAGGGCAATACCAATGTTACAGACTGTCAAACAGGAATACAAAACAAAGATCTACCTACATCAGTCCTTAGACTGACTTTTCAAAAGTCTGATTAAAAAACCCATAGGAATCTTAGAAATTAGATGCTGTACACAATTAGAATCATAGAATGGTTTGGGTTGGAAGGGACCTCAAAGATCATCTCGTTCCAACCCCCCTGCCACGGGCAGGGACACCCTCCTCTATATCAAGTTGCCCAAAGCCTCATCCAGCCTGGCCTTGAACACTGCCAGGGATGGGAAAAAAATCGGGGCAGCCTGTTCCAGTGCCTCACCATCCTCTGAGTGAAAAATTTTTTTCTTATATCCACTAAATCTCCCCTCTTTCAGTTTAAATCCATTGCCCCTTGTCCTGTCACTACACGCCCTTGTAAAAAGTCCCTCCCCAGCTTTCCTGTAGCCCCCTTTAAGTACTCCCTTTAAGTACTTAATTAGCATCAAGTCATCGTATCAGTCTATATGAAGATATTTTAGCTAAAAGACAATGTATCTGATGGGGGGGGAGGGGAGAGACATCTAATAAGAATTCAGTTTTATCAAAATAAGCTTGATTCCCTGAAACGCAGCTTCTGCTATGTGCAGTGAAAAGTATCCTAAAAACCTCAACATTCCTAAAAGTGCATTTGTGGGGTGGGTGGGAAGGGGAAGGAGAGGAAAAAAAAAGCACACGCCATTGCCTCATTTCTTCCGTGGTACCACAACTGTGTGAGAAGAAGCCAGAATAGTTTTAGGCTGAACTTTGTAAACTACCCATTTATAGTTCAAACAACTTTTTTTTTTTTCCACTGATGATACAAGATATTGCAGATGACACTAATATGTGGTGTAAAAATTAAAGTGGGAAAACAGCACTTTCCCCCAACAGAAGCTTACAGGGTGAGCTGGATTTTAAGATTAGTTCAAACTCTTCGCTTTACTCTTTATAGATTTATAGTAACAAGTTATAGTTAAATTGTTTTATTGCACAGAAAATAAAATAAAATTACACAGAGAGCATAAAACCATGGAAAACCAAATGTGTTTCACAAAGCACTTAAAGTGTCAACTATAAATTAAACCATAAATCAGTCAAAATTGCAACATCCAGGAAGAAACAATTACAGATGTAAGTGTTCACTCTTTAGTCAAAAAACAATTACTGCCATATGCTTGAAGTTCAGGTGATTTTTTTTTTGGTGTTTTTTTTTTTTATTTATTTTGTTTTTAAAGAAGTGCAACACCAATATAGCTAGTTGACCTGGTGCCTGCTTATAGAAAGCCCATTTTCAATGTTAAAAATCACATTCCATGTGTGGCAGAAGTGTATATAAAATAATTTATATCAGAATTCTGAGAAGATTTCACTCAATTTGCTCTTTAGTTCCTTTACATTATACTGAACATTCACACAGTAGGTACACAACTCTTTCAAAATGCTCACAAGCATTTTTTTTAATATCAACTGTGGAAAGTCTATCGTTACAGCATGATAAAACTTCTAAAATAAGGAGCTTTATTTTCTAGATAGCAAATTTATGGAGCTTCTTACAGGAGAATTTTAATTACGACATTCCGAGAAAGCTGACTGAAGCAGACTTGGATTTTACTCTCAAAAATGTTTTTCTTCACACATTTCTGACACAGGGATTCACCCTGTTCCTCTCCCCCCAGGCTGTATCTTGACCAAGAGATGGTTTAACTTCGATTAACTATGGTCCTTCAAGATTTACTATCCACATGTATTCCAACCAAGACACAGAGGTAGCCTATGCAGATGCATTCCTGGGCTGTATTGTCCACCGAAAAACGTACCTGTGCCCCATCCTCCAACCAACATACTGCAGGGAAGGGAGGCTACACGGTGTTTTGTAACCTCACAAACAGAATCCAGGGATTGGAAAACATGCTAGAGTGCAGGTATGCAAAATACATAATTTTAGAACCTGTTTTGTTACAAGCTGTCTCATCTGGTCCTTGTTCATTTATTCCAGCAGTGACAATGCACCTGATGGAAACTGCTGCAAGGATCCTGATTAAGGACAGCAAGCTAGCTCCCACCAAGCCAACAGTTCTTGATGCTCCTACAGCAGCCAACGCTGCACAACACTCTATATAGAGTTCTCTACCTATTTCTGCTGTGTGCACATCACTTAAAGAAACTACAGCTGATACATACCCTGCCAGAGTGGATGATGATGCCTAGGCATGTAACACTGGATCCAAAATTTTCCTAGCCTTTACTAGCTGTGTTGGATCAACACACATTGACCTTCTCCTGCTTACACGTCGCATGCAAGTGGCCTAATTTAAAGCAATTCTTCTACAGGCACAGAAGTCCTCCTGCTTTCTACTTTTCAGCTGAAATTACAGCTCCTAGAAAGTTTTTGGGTCAGTAGGAAAAGATGACATTTGCGAGCAGCCCAAAAAGAAACATTATCAGTCCTTTTATAACCAAGCTGGATCCAAGGGATTTGAGTTGTCAAAAGAATTATGCATTTTCTTAAATGTGGTACTGTGGGAGGGAACGAAAAGAAAAGCCCATGTATCGTGAACCGGAGCAGGGTCAACCAAGATGAAGATGATATACAGACTATCCGGAAACTGTCACTCCAGACCAGTTATAGATGATCTAATGCATCTAATCAGCATTTGAAAATCATTAGCAAGACACAATAACTATACAGTAATTTCTTCTTCTTTTAGAAAAATATATAGCTCTAGTAGTGCTTAGTGTTCTCTCAGAAATATTTGTCTTCTCTTGCAAATGACCTCTGCAAATTTAGCCTCTTCTCTGAAATATCTGATACAACCCCTGGTTTACCAATACCACAGCTATGAGCTTTGTGAACTTTAGTGCTGTCTGACAAACACCAGACAGTTCTTCAGGATCTGAAGAGAAATGGTAATATAAAAGAAGGGAAATTCAAATGAGTTATTTGGGAGACATCCAATAGTAATTTCTAAACTTTAATCAAAATAGCTATCATTTATAGGGTTCCTATAAAGGAGATATTTCTCAAAGGTTAAGAGTACTCCCCTATCACCATGTGAAGGGAAACAGAGCTAACAAGAAGTACTATTCCTTCTCTCCCCCAAGAAAATTAGAATCATAGAATCAATTGTTGGGGCTTTTTTTTTGACTGACCAAAAAGGCAGTATTATTTCTAAGTAAAGGAAGTCAGTTATTTCAGGGTTTTAGATCACTGTCTAGATTAAAAAAAAAAAGAATATTCTAATCTCATATTTGTAGGTTCAGATTTCAGTTCTTTTTCATTAAATAACTGAAACACAACCAGATAATTTTTAAATGTGTGTTGCAAGATAATTAGTCATAAACCATTTAAAATACTGTCAAGTCATAGTAAACAAGTACAATCTTCTTAATGTAGTCTTAATATTTGCTTTACTTAAACATTTTGTTATAAAAATTCGCAAAAATCGTCTATTTAGAGGAACATATCTACAAAAGTCCCATGTTCACAGGAAGATTTGCCCTGTTTTACAATCCAACCACACTGTATTTCTCACATATGGACAGTCTCCACCAACCTGATGAAGCTGGATCTCCTACCATCCATCTATTTGACCACTTCAAACTGGCCACAATGCACAATCTAACATTTTACTGCAACCACAAACTTAGCACATAACCAACCCGAATTATCAAAACATACCATTTTTTTCCGATGTTCTGAGAAACACCATGTCAGATGGGATTCGTTGATTCTGAGGAGAGGGGGAAAAAAAAGGGGTATTTATTGTAAGTAGGAAAAAAAAGTGAATTCCAATCAAATGTCCAGTAAGATCTATCACCAAAAGGTCACACTTGGATTGAAACTCAATTAAAATAGGATTTCTCACAGTACTTTACATTCAGCATTTGTAATTCAGAAATCAATATTTTCGAAAAATTATACAATAAGCAAACAACAGCTAATCCTCTCAAATGCTCTTCATAAGTGAATCATAAATACCTGAAGAACTACAACGGATTTACATTTTCTTGACTGAAAACAGTAGCTCTAGAATATAAATATCTAATTAAAATATTTTAAAAAAATCATTTCACTGAGCAAAACTCTGACACTCAGCATGTATAATACAAAAACCAGTGAAATTTAACACACTTGTCTTGGCACTCCAGTTGTAAATATTATGTATACCAAGTATTCTCCTCTTTCCCAATGTACAAACCTACCCAGAGGAAATGGCAAGTCAGGGAGCAGCATCTTCCCCTTTCACATATTCACAAAACTCTCCTTTACAAAGACAAAAATGAAAATAATTCCCACCTCAGTACCTCAGGCACAGCCCCATACGCACGGATGCATCCTGCTGCTTCCCTTTCAAGCACAGAACTATTTCCATCAAATCACGTTTTCAGTTTTTTCTTGACCACAGAAAGGCCAACCTAAGCTTTTGCAGATGAAACAAAATGAAAGTATGGCCTCCCCCTCATCACTATCTGCTACACCACCACCCAAATCCTCAGCTCTCTCCCCTCCTGTTCATAAGGCATCTATCAGCATCGGTTACACACTGCCAACGTGTTTCAGAATAAAAAACTAGGGAAGTAAAAATAACCAACGTGCCCAAATCTGAAAGATACCCTACTTATTTGCAGTTTCTTCCACCACAACTGATGTCCAGTATGCCACATGCTGTACTGTTTGATACTGAAGTTAATTAAACAAAGACTCATTTGCATTTCATTTCCAGACAACCTTTAACCAATTAAGAAACCTCAGTGGATTATTAGCAATGGCTTCACCAGTTTCACGCCAACAAATATTTCTCAATATTCATTTCCGATTACTTGTTAAGACAATATAGCGCACAAATAATTTTTCACATAGAAAGTACCTCCATTTGAGAATAAATTTCAGGTTTTCCTTTTATACTTGGTCAATATTGCATACCTAAGGCTCATCTTTTATTTTTTCAGAGCCCAATTGTCTGAGTGGAAAACAAAATAAATGTAGCTGACAAAGCCCACCACATGGCATACATGAACCTCATGGATTTCAGCCTTAAAAACCTAACTGAATTTATTCAACATAAAAAGTTAAGGAGCATGTTCAGTATATGAGCATTTTGAAACTACACAATTATTGCCTATTTCACACTTCAATTATAATCAAACCACAAAATTAATGCAGCAATAATAATAATTCAATCGTGGCTCTATTTTGTGCATAAATTACCAGCTATAAAAAACTGGTTAATTATTTTATACAAAAGAAATAGAAATGAAGATGGGGCCAAGCTAACCTGAAAACTTCAATTCAAGAAATTAAGCAAGGGAACATCTCACATACTGAATCCCACCTGGAAATTGTACAAGGGTACTCCTAGTCACAATACTGCCATTCACTGCATCAAAGCAGAAGAATCTAATTCTATGGATTATTACAAAGATGTAACTACCGAAGTAAAGTGTAATGTGTTCAAAATTATCTTTACACAAAATTTAAGTGCATTCAGCACGTAGCAGCGCTGAACATGCTTATCCCAACGGGAATCTAGGCAATAGCCCAGACCCCAGCATCCACAAACACGTTCAAAAACCTCCTAGAAGAATCAACACAAACACCAAGGGGTGTTTTCTCTCCTTTGAGTCAAGGCAGTCCTGCAGCTCAACATCTAAGGACACAACGCTGACATGTGCGGACAGAAACCCAGCAGTATCAGCCTGGTTTGGTTTGAAACCAGGGACAGCTTCTCACTTTTAAACCTCCATCTTTCACTTTTTTGAGAGCAGCACTTCCCCTTCATCACTGCACGTCAAAAGAAAAATCTCAGAAGCATGTACACACACTCATAGTCCCCTCTAATCAAGCAGCTCATCAAGATAACTAAATACTGCTTCGTGTAACATCTAGCGTGTAGGACCTTCAAAATACTATGCCTGACTAACCACAAAAATCAGTTTAGAGAGTGAAAAACATTCACAGTCTCACTCATCATGGAGAATAAATGTGTATTTGCAGCAGACGACACCACCGAAGTGAGTTTTTTCCCCATATGTAATGCAGTACTCTAACATTTGCCTCTGTTCTTAGGAAGCCACACTCATACAGCAATAACATTCCTGACCACAAAACATCCCGAAGACTGTAGGCAAAGGTTTCCATTAGTGAAAAGAAACCTTCCCAAGATCAGCATGCAGCCACACCAGTACCGTTCGGAAAAGCGTGATCTGAAGAGATCTGTCAGTCAAGTGCCAGATTCTGTGTTACATAGAATCATGGAATGGTTTGGGTTGGAAGGGACCTCAAAGATCATCCAGTTCCAACCCCCCTGCCATGGGCAGGGACACCCTCCACTACACCACGTTGCCCAAAGCCTCATCCAACCTGGCCTTGAACACTTCCAGGGATGGGGCAGCCACAGCTTCTCTGGGCAACCTGTGCCAGTGTCTCACCACCCTCAATGTAAAGAATTTCTTCCTTACATCTAACCTAAATCTCCCCTCTTTCAGTTTAAATCCATTGCCCCTCGTCCTATCACTACACACCCTTGTAAAAAGCCCCTCTCCAACTTTCCTGTAGGCCCCCTTTAGGTACTGGAAAGCTGCTATAAGATCACCCCGGAGCCTTCTCATGGGCTCAGCTTTCAAAACAAGGTGATGTAAATGCTGTAAATCTCCAGAAGGCACGTACCTCTTGCCAATCCCTGTAACATACTCTCAAGTCTCAGAAGTGGGACTGGAAGCAACCGCAATTGTATTCTCTACTGATGGGAAGTTCAGGATAGAATCACCTCCATAGCCCTTCACGGCCCCTCTATGTCAAGCAAACAAGATGCTTGGAAAACAAGCGAGTTTGGAAACTGCAGAAAAGCAGATGCATGTTCTGGTTTACCCAAGAATCCTGTGCAGTTAGCAAAAAAACATGTGTTTTCATGCACGGATACTTGCTGGTTTGCAGCAACTCCCATTTATTTGTAAAAGCACAAAGAGTTAAAAATTCATGAAAAAAACTATGCTAAAATTCATGTTAAAAATTCATGCCTGTCTGTATGTCAACAACATTCACCTGGAAGAGGCTGCTCACCTGCAACTGCAGCTAGTACAGCATTTTTTGGAATCTTGCCTTAGAGCAGAAAATAATTAAACATGCAGGGAAATCCACCATGAGCCCAGATTCAACCAGAAATATCTCGTATTCAGGTTTGGAAAAAACTGCAGTAAAGACATTAACTTTAAAGTACATTATTATGCACCTATTAGAGGAAAGGAAAAAAAAAGAGGAAAGGCAAAATGCAACTTCAGAATTAAATAAATCTTT